GGCGAGTCCTCTGCACGCTGGCAGAGGTGGACGCAGAGTGACTGAGCATGGGGGGTGTGGACACTGACCACCAGGAGCTCAGAATTCAGCCTGTTCCAGTGCCATCCTGGGGAGACCAGCACAGGGCACTGCACCCCACCAGTCAGGGCCAGGCCCCAGGTAGTCGTGGGGTGGTGGGCTCAGAGCTGGACAGGCTGCATTTGAGGGCACTGTGAGGTGCTGCTCCCATTGGCAGGACACCACAGAGATTATGGCCCCTGGCTCTAGCTCTGCCCTGCCTCGGCCCACAGCCCCTGAGCTCTGTCCACACCTGTGGAGGGAATCGACCTACAGCCATCCTGCTGGCCATGAGCCCGGCAGAGCCACCTTCAGGGGCTCTTTCTTGTTTGAGTTGCAGGAAAGCCAAAGTTCTGAGATGCTTTGGGGGACGGGGCTGAACAGGAACCACGAGATGTCCACCTCCCTCCTGGACATTCAGGTCAGCTCTGTGCCCATGCTGGGCAGCAGGCTTTTGAAGTGTGGGGAGGAGGGGAGCTTGCTGTACTAAATTGAAAAGTAGCAGCTGTTCCAGGAGCATGAGCCACTGTGACCTGTGTGCTCATCGGTGGCCTAGCAGCCAGGGAGCTACGGAGCTGTGGGTGGCCAGGCCTTGGGATGGTGCAGCAGCAGCCCTTTTGTGAACAGGGCCCATGAATGACTCTCAGGTCTCAGTCTGCCACTCAGAAGGGGAGGGCGGCAGGCTCTGTGGGGACACTTCCTCTGCCACCTCTCATTCTGGGGAGCCGGCAGCCTGGATGGTCTCTAGGGTTAGGGTGTCACCCTCAGAGCCACACCAGGAGCAAGACCTGACCGGAGCCTGCATCCCCGTGGTCCTCTAAACCACCCCACGGTGTCCCAGCCAACGGGGGCCATGGCAAGACCCCCGCTGGGCAGCGCCCACCTTCTCTCCTCGGGCTCGGAAGGGACCTCGAGCCGCGATCATCTCATACAGGGTGGCCCCCAGGGCGAAGTAGTCCACAGAGAAGTCGTACTCCTCGCCGCGCAGGAGCTCCGGGGCCATGAAGCCTGCGGGACACAGCTGCAGGTTGAGCGAGCCGCACCCCAGGTCCCCGCTGGTCTCCACCCCTGGAGGCCACAGCACCCCATCCTGACAAGGACAGTGCCCCGGCTGAGCCGTGTTCCCTGGGCCAAGTGACCCAGGGGTGGGGTCTCCTCTCCCTCCCTGGGCCCTGCAGGACACGCCGGGCAGGCCCCGCCGTGGGCAGGGCTCTTGGGGCAGAGGCGGCCCTGCGGGCTTCTCACTCACCCCAGGCCAGGACCCAAGAGCACAGACCCTGGCCAGGCACCCCAGGAACGGGCCCACGGGACGCCCCCAGAGCAGGCCTGGCGTCCTGCAGGGAGACCTCAGCCCGGGCACTGTCTGGCAGCACCTGTCCAGCACCTGCTGAGCTGACCCCACTCCTGCACCCACCAGGGCCACCAGTCACCTCACTGTGCAGAGGAGAGTGGAGCTTGCTCCGGCTGACCAGGAGGCAAGTGGCCAGCTGGGCCCTCAGGCCTGTGCTGAACTGCCACCACGGCCAACCTGGCCTGGGGCCAGCCCCTCGCAGCCCCCACCATCCTCGCCTGGGGGTCAGGTGGTTCCCTCACAGAGGGTCCTGCCCACCTGCCCCACAGACCCCTAGGCACCGAGCAGGGCCAGCACCCTGGGCAGAGACACAGCTGGAGCTGAGTGTCAGTGTGGCGCAGCCCATCCTGCCCGTCCAGGCCCTGGGCCCACCAGCAACATGCCGTGGTGGGTCCTGAGCGCCCGGGCACCCTGTGCCCGCCTGCACACGGAAGACACCATCCTCAGCCAGCAGAGACCTTGCAGGGAGCCAGGCCCGGCCTCTGCCGCCAGCCTCAGCTGACCAGGGAGCTGCTGGGAGTCAAAGCCAGAGACTGGCTCCTGACCGCAGGTTGACAGCAGAGCGCGGGCCACGGGGCCCTCTAGTGGCCATACAGCTATCGCATCCCTGCAGGCAGGGTCCACCTCTGTTCTGGCTGCGGCAGAGTCACCAGGCAAGCAGCTACGTCCACACCACACCTCCCGTGGTGTCCATGGTGTATATCAGAACCCATGGCCAGAGACGTTAAGCAAATCACCCAAGATCACACAGCACTAATGAGGGGTCTCCACTAGACCCTGCCCTCCTCAGCTCTGCCACTCCTTCCCTGCCCGCGGGGACACACACACAGGACACACAGGACAGACACACACACGCACATGCCAGACACACAGATCGTACCAGTGCACAGACCTGCATGCAGAGGCACGTGTCAGATACCTGCACACCCAGACGCACACAGGCAGGGTCATGGATACGTTCACAAGTGTGTGTGTGTGTGTGTGTGTGTGTGTGCATGTGACACACCTGTGTGCGGACATCCCGCAGTGGCCCCAGGCCCGACTCCCCGAGCCAGCACTCGGGACAGACCCATTCTCTGCAGCCCAGGCCCTGAGGTCCTGCCCTGGGCCCCTGCTCATCACGCCCAGCGGGTGGCTTCAGCAGGCAGGAGGCCGTCCCGGGGCGGCCCTGGGGGCAGCCAGTGGACCCTGGCTGTTGACCGCGCGAGGCCCACCGCACCTCACCTGGCGTCCCTGCGTAGCCCCTGGTCTTGCTCTGCCCCTCCGGCAGCTCCACGGCCAGCCCCAGGTCCGAGATGCGGACGTTGCCTGGAACAGCGCGCTGCGGTCACTCGGGGGGCCTGGCAGGCCGCTGCCCGCAGGCACCCTGGCCACACAGGCAGCACAGCCAGCACACCCTGCACACACCCACAGCACACCCAGGACACCCAGGCCACACCCAGCACACCCAGCACACCCAGCACACCCAGGACACACCCAGCACACCCAGGATACCCAGGACACACCCAGCACACCCAGGCCACACACCCAGCACACCCGGGCCACACACCCAGCACACCCAGCACACCCAGGACACCCAGCACACCCAGGACACACCCAGCACACCCAGGATACCCAGGACACACCCAGCACACCCAGGCCACACACCCAGCACACCCAGGACATACACACAGCACACCCAGGATACCCAGGACACACCCAGGACACCCAGCACACCCAGGATACCCAGCACACCCAGGACATACACACAGCACACCCAGGCCACACACCCAGCACACCCAGGACACACAC